TCTCTAGATTTTTTTGGTACTGTATGTGGCAAAGGGGAAGGAGTTATATGGTAACAGAAAAGAACTTTTTTAAAAAAGACAGGACGCAAACACAGAAACCAAGCACACGGTTTCCTGTTTTATTTTTCCTCTTTTGCAGCTGCAAGGAATTTTAGCCAATTAGAGAGGACTTGTTACCCATAATTTGGAATTCTCACTCAGATTTGGCCAAGTTGGGTAGAGTTGGTCAAATCTCATGGGAGAAAGAAGAGAAAAAACAACAACAACAACAAAAAACCCAACAATGTGATCTCTGAGCACTCTAATGGTACAGAGAAATTAAGACCAGCTGGTTGTTAACTGTATCCAAGACAAAACCCCAATTCAGCTACTTACCTAGGGATGGGTTTTGGGCTGAAGAAGCAGGAAAAAAATCAAACTGTCTTCCCTGTTGGGAGCAACCTCAGGCTCTATAGAGGAGTTACCTGCCTTCCATCGTCTTGAAAGCAGGAAATGTTGCCTGCCTTGTTGGAAGCAAGTAAAACTCCAAAAAAGTGAATTGTGCAGCAAAATAGATCTTGACCAAATTTGGGGAGATCAGGAATTCTCTGGAGGGGGGTGAGCCCAGACCTCAGCAAATTGTCCTATTGGTTTGAGCCATAAAGTTAGCTCATGATGGTACCAAGCACCAATAGGAGATTTGTCAAAGGTCAGGTGTACCTCCACTCAGAATCCCTTTGTGGTTGCCAAATGTGAACCCCAAACATCTGAGACAGGTCTCAGTTAATTTAGAAAGTTTATTTTGCCAAGGTTGAGAATGTGTGCCTGTGACACAGCCTTGGGAGGTTCCAATGACATGTGCCCAAGGTGGTTAGAACATAGGTTGGTTTTATATATTTTAGGGAGATGGGGGACATCAATCAACATATATAACATGAACATGGGTTCAGTCCAGAAAGGTGAGACAACTTGAAGCTGGGAGGGGTCTTCCAGGTCATAGGTAGATAAAAGACAAATGGTTGCATTCTTCTGAGCTTCTGATTAGCCTTTCCAAAGGAGTAATCAGATATGTATTTATGTCAGGGAGCAGAGAGGTGACTTTGAAAAGAATAGGAGGCAGTTTTGCCCTAAGCAGTTCCCAGCTTGACTTTTCCCTTTAGCTTAGTGAATTTGGGGCCCCAAGATTTGTTTTCCTTTCATAACACTTTTGGGCAGAAATTACATACATCTCTCTTCAAAAGAAAGCTACAGGTATTGATCGATTTACGACCTATGCAACTTACGACCATTCAACTTTACGACCACAATCGCTAGCCGCGACTGCTCCGCGTCTGGCAGCGCAAACGTTGTCCAGCTGGGCGTACGACAGTGCGGACCAGCTTCCGGCAGCACTGCCATCTCTGCGTGCACCATTTCAACTGTACATATAGCCTACTCAACTTACGACCAAATCGTGTTACGACCGGTCTGCCGGTCCCAATCGTGGTCGTAAGTCGAGCACTAGCTGTACCTGTGAAATAAGCTCTTAACAGTAAGTTGCTCCTTATCCATTAACTCCATCTATTAAGTTCTTACATGCAAAGCCCAATGCTGGATAGGGAGACTCGACTGTAACATTTCCCTTTGGCAAACAAGACAAAGAATAAGAAAGGTAAAATTTAGTCGCTGAAACTTAGCTCAGTACAGACCTACAGTCATCGACAGTACACCTACTCTGTGTAAGGTACTAGATTAGATACTAAAACTATAAGGCCAGGCACTGTAATTTATGCCTGTAATCCCAGCACTTTGCAAGGCAAGGCTCGCAAAGTGGGGCCAGAAGTTTGAGACCAGCCTGGGTAAGACAGCAAGACCTCATCCTTACAAAAAATTTAAAAATAATTAACAACAACAACAACAACAAAAAGGCCAGTGTATTGGTGTATGCTTGTAGTCCTAGCTATTCAGGAGGCTGAGGTGGGAGGATCACTTCAGCCCAGGGGTTCAAGGCTGCAATGAACTATGATTGCATCACTGCACTCTAGCCTGGGTGGCAGAGTGAGACCCCACTGTAAAATAAATAAATAAATATATGGAGAAAAATCTCTTCATCCTTGGTGTAGTGGGAAAGATAGATGACAAAAATTAGTTAACACTGGGATGCCCAGAGTACTGTGAGATCACAGGGAAAAGGTTCAAGGAAGTCTTCGCAAGTTACTTAAACCATTTTGAAGGATGGTTAAGATTAGCAAGTGAGAAAAGATGACAGGAAGCAGGGTTATAAAATAACATGGGTATATGTCAGAAATTATTTGAGTAATAACAGAACAAGAGTAAAATGTTATCGCTAGCATGTAGAGTCCAGCCCTACTAGGGTCGTGGGGTATCCCCTGTCGCTGTACTGAGGCCTTGGATCTGAGAAATAAGGAGACAAGACATCAAAGGACTGGATAAAAGCATCTGGGCTTAGGGGACCAACGCCACTCGCAAGCAGAGACAGGAGAGGCCCCAAGCGTCCAGGCGCATCTGTATTTATTAGGTATAGGTTAGGGGGAATGGTCATGAGTGAGGTCATCTTAAGGGTAGTGATAAGGTCAAGACAACCACATGAGTGATAAGCAAGGGTCCCCCCCCATTAGGTCACCGAGGCAAGGAGGTGGGCAGTGCACAGTGAGGAGGGTGCAGTGTGCTACATCTCTTATCTAGGGGTAGGAAAATTCTAAGGATTTCTATGGGAGGAGTCTTTGAGTCATCAGCACAGTAGCAAGAAAGCTGACAGGGTATACAGCCACGTAGGCGTGATTACACTGGAGGGGTTTTAAGTCCTTGGATGTTCGCTGGATTGCCAACCAGAGGCCAGCTTTCCACAAGAACTGGACACAAGATGCTACAACTCCCTTATAGGAGGAGTGACTCTTGCTCCAAGCCTGTCATACAGTGGGTATCTTTACGATATTGAATGCTGCTGCCTGGGCCAGCCTGCCATGTAGCACATGCCCTTTCAGGGAGGGGTACTACTGCCTGGGCCCTTGATTCCTGTCCTGGTATGGCTGGTTTTTTCCCTAATACATGCTCCACACTGTGTCTGCTCTTGACACTCCTCTGACTACGAACTAAGATATGATTATATAAAAGGAAATAAATGAGCAGTAAGTTATGCTTCAGGCACTAACTATGCCGGGGGTCTGCTTAGCTCTCCTTCCTCGATGCCCAGAAAGGGGGTTACCCACACTAGCAGATGAGCTCATGAGAGGATATTGTCAGTTTTGTTCACAGTAAGTGTGGCTCATAGTAGGCACTTACAAAATATTTGTTAAATGAACAAAAGGATCCAAGTTCAGGGTTTATGGCAAGAAACAACAGGGAGGGAGACAGAACAAAACTAGGGAGACCTTGGAAGAAGCTTGGACTGTATGGGGAAAAACTGAAGATGTTTAAAAAGAAGGATGGCATGCCTGGATTTGTGGTTTTGAGCTTCAGGAGTGAGAAAGGACCTAAGTGGCACAAGGCTGGAGACCGAGAGAGACAAGTTATGTAGCCATTGCTAAAGTCGGGTGAAAGCTGACCAAGGTAAAATGTGGAATTTAGTAGTGAACTTGTCACCTAAAGCCATCAGAATTGTTAACATGAAAAGACTGGCAATATCAAGTGTTGTCAAGGATGCAGAGCTGGAACTAGAATACTCATCCTCTGCTGGTAGAGTATAAATTGAAAACAGATGCAGGCCAGGCATGGTGGCTCATGCCTATAATCCCAGCACTTTGGGAGTCTGAGGTGGGCAGATCACTTGAGGTCAGGAATTTGAGACCAGTCTGTCCAAATGGTGAAACCCTATCTCTACTAAAATACAAAAATTAACCAGGAGTGATGGCGGGAGGCTGAGGTGGGAGAATCACTTGAATCCGGGAGGTGGAAGAATCACTTGAATCCGGGAGGTGGAGGTTGCAGTGAGCTGAGACCTTGGCACTCCAGACTGGGCGACAGAGAGAGACTCTGAAAAAAAGAAAGAGGGAGAAAGGGAGGGAGGGAGGGAGGGGAAAGAAAAAAGAGAGAAAGAAAGAAGGAAGGAAAGAAAAACATATGCAGTATAATTTCACAAACTGTTGGGTACCTTCTACTGAAGCAGAACCCACAATCCCACTTTTAGGTATACAACAGAAATTAGTGCTTATGTACCCCCAAAGACGTCCCTACAAAGATATGGACAAGAACATCCACAGTAGAACTATTTTTCATAGCTAAAATGGATAAACTGTGTTATATTCATGCAATGGAATACCAAAGAAACACTGAAAAGTAACTGTAGTTCCACTATCCAGATAAGTCTGATAAACATCATATTAAGTGAAAGATGCCAGACACAGAAGACTACATATAAATCAGTGCATCATATTCCGCGCCCCCCCCCAACTTTTTTTTGAGACAGAGTCTCACTCTGTCACCCAGGCTAGAATGCAGTGGTGTGATCATGGCTCACTTCAACTTCCACCTCCTGGGTTCAAACAATTCTCATACCTCACCCTCGCGAGTAGCTGTGATTACAGGTGTGCACCAACATACCTGGCTAATTTTTGTATTTTTAGTGGAGATTTTTAGGGGTTTTGCCATGTTGGCCAGGCTGGTTTCAAACTCCTGACCTCAAGTGATCCACCCGCCTCGGCCTCCCAAGGTGCTCAGATTAGAAGCATGAGCCGCTGCACCTGGCCTTCCATCTTTAAAAGTCCAAAAACAGGGAAAATGAATGTATGTATCATGCCTCCTGCCAAGTCTTGTCATTCAGGTAGCCAAGCCCTGCCTATGTTCCCACCAGGAATTCTTATTTCTACACCAGCTCTGACCTCAGATTTCTCAGAAGATGTGAAACTCCCTTCATGCCCCAGAACCACCATCCAGCTGCCACCTAAGTCTTAGCAAAGAGAAACTATGGCAGATCCTTTCTCACATCTTCCTCCCCTGGCCAAGGCCAAAAGAACTAGTTATAAGGGAGAGGGTTACAAACCAGGCAACTCAGCTAAATCATGAAATTCTGCACCCACACTTAGGTAACCCTTTTCTCAAGAATCAAAAGAATAATTTGCTGTTACAGAAGTGGTGTCATGAGCAATCCGGTAAGTGAAATGGATTCAAGGTAGAGCTGCAAATCTGGGGTTTACTTTGAAGGAATAAATATAATGAAACACTCAGACAGAATGCTGCTGCCTGGAGAAGCAGAAGCCTTAGATGTAGGGATGGTTTCTCCTTGAAGCACACTGGGCACTGAAGTTAATTCTAGACTTTTACAGACCCTGCCCCAAAGTCCTAATGCCACTCCTGGTGCAGCCTCCTTACTGGAAACTCAAGTTTTCACCCAATCCCAACCTCACACTCTTCCTTGTATTCAATCACCTAATATATTTAGCATTAAAGTCTTTGACTTCCATAATTCCTCAAACATAACACACTTGTGAAAGATGCATTATTATTTACATACCACTAAAAAGTTTTCAAGTGAAATATGACATACCATCCACTGTGAAATGCATTCACATTCAGAGATATGAACATTTGAAAAGAACACATGCAGGGCAGGGCCCGGTGGCTCACACCTATAATCCCAGCACTTTGGGAGGCCAAGGTGGGTGGATCACCTGAGGTTGGGAGTTTGAGACCAGCCTGACCAACATGGAGAAACCCCGTCTCTACTAAAAATACAAAAAATTAGCCATGTGTGGTGGTAGGTGCCTGTAATCCCAGCTACTTGGGAGGCTGAGGCAGGAGAATCACTTGAACCTGGCAGGCAGAGGTTGCAGTGCGCTGAGATCGCACCACTGCACTCCAGCCTGGGCAACAAAAGCAAAACTCTGTCTCAAAAAAAAAAAAAAAGAAAAGAAAAAAAGAAGAAGAAGAATAAAAGAACATGTGCTTCTTAGAATCAATTAATTACAATACTCTTAACTAGGGAGAAGCAAGGGAATGAGAAATCCCAAGCCGTTTGATTTCAGGAGATTGTGTTTATGAATTAACAAATCCTTAATACCAATGTATAAGAGCTCTGAGAAGTTGCAATGATGGAGTTTATTTCCAGCATCATTATATGTTTTAGATCTTAGATTAAAGAAATAATATGGAGAATTACAGAGATCTGGCAAAGGTTTTTTAGCATAAGTAATTTTGAAAGGATGCCAAATATTAAAATATTATGAATTTAATGTGTTTAATGTGTATTTATATTTCAAGTGTCTTGCAGATGATGGAAATAGGTGGGATTAACTTTTCAATCAGGAATAAAATTCCTTAAAGCCTTGACATTTTTGCAGTACCTCAAATCAATAAATGTTTCACCTTTGTGCATTTTTTGGACAGATTTTTGAATTTTGTGGAGCTGATGCTAAAATATTGGAAGCCAAGATTCAAGAATTAATGTAAGCTGATCTCCAAGACAAAATATACTTGTGACATTTTAAAAGGAAAGAGCAAATGTATTTGTGTTTTTATTTCCAGTAAATACTGTAGTTTTCTATTGGTCTCTTTCCTAATGCTTTAATGATTGAATACCCAAATGCAATCTCACTGCACAATTGCTAAAAACTGTTGCAATATCAGAGATTGTGTCATTTCCATTCGCCAACTTGGCCTTCCCACTTTCTCTGACCACACTCCTTGGGCAGTGTTTTTATAACCTTCACAAGAGAGGTCCTGCACAGCTAAGTAATATCAGGTTGTTAAGATTTTCCAGAGATTAGCAAAGATGAAATTCTTCCCAGTGATCAAGGAACAAATAAATGTAATGCCCTTGTGCACTTTGAATACATGAAAGCCTCTCTCCATTCAGCCATTTTTTATGGTTCAAAGTTCTTCTCCAATGCATCTTTTTTTTTTTTTTTTTTTTTTTTTTTGAGATAGAGTCTTGCTCTGTTGCCCAGCCTGGAGTGCAGTGGCATGATCTCAGCTCAGCAACCTCTACCTACCAGGTTCAAGGACTCTCCTGCCTCAGCCTCCTGCATAGCTAGGATCACAGGTGCACGCCACCACATCTGGTTAATTTTTCTATTTTTAGTAGAAACAGAGTTTCACCATGTTGGTGAGGCTGGCCTCAAACTCCTGACTTCACGTGATCCTCTCACCTCAGCCTCCCAAAGTGCAGAGATTATAGGCGTGAGCCACCATGCCCTGCCATCATTTTATATTTGAACTGTGTCACTTTTCTCTCTCTCTCTCACTCCCTTTCTAAAATTCTCCTCTAAACACACACACACACACACACACAGACACACACACACACACACACACACACACCAGAAAGTCCTTTTACTGACCATTAAAAAAAAAAAAAAACAGATAGCTGGGACATTTAGAGCCTACAGGAGATGACTTTTTCTATACTATACTAATTGTGCCTATACTGAGGCAGATGAAGACTGGAGTCTTAAGTCATAGCAGAGAGGAGCTGGCTTTCCTAGGCATTAATAACAGATTTTGACAGAGCATAGGCTCCACATGCTTTTGTAGAATTCTTTAGGGTAGGCAGAGCACAATGCTTCATGCCTGTAATCTCAACACTTTGGGAGCCTGAGGGAGGTGGACTGCTTGAGCCTAGGAGTTTGAGACCAGCCTGGGCAACATGGTGAAATGCTGTCTCTACAAAAAATAGAAAAATTAGCCAGACACAGCGGTTTGCACCTGTAGTCCCAACTGCTTGGGAGGCTGAGGTGGGAGGATTGCTTGAGATCAGGAATTTGAGACCAGCCTGGGCAACATAGCAAGATTCTGTCTTTATAAAAAAGAAAAAAAATTACAAAAATTAGTCAGGCATGGTAGCTCAAGCCTGTAGTCCCAGCTGCTCAGGAGGCCGAGGTGGGAGGATCACTTTCGCCTGGGAGGTGGAGGTTGCAGTGGGCTGAGATCTGCCACTGCACTCCAGCCTGGATAATAGAGCGAGACTCAGTCTCAAAAAAACAAAAATGAAAATAAAATTATTTGGGCTATAGAGAAAATCAGCACATACTAGTTTAAGCGAAAAGGAGAACAAATATGTATTGAGTGCTTACTCTGAAAAATACGAAAATGAAACTCGATTCATGGAATCGAAATGCAGAGATACAACCAGCCTTCACATGAGATTAGAAGCAGGGAGAGGAAAGCTATGGGGGATTCAGGATACTTCCAAGTATTTCTGTCCTCTGCTTTTCATCTGAATCATCCTTTCTGTTGCTACAGATAGATGTCCTTTATTTTCCAGTCTTCGTGCTGGAAAGTAGTCCCTGCCAATAACTCCCAAGCATATATTATCTCTTCCATTCAGGGAGCCAGCCAGACTATTCCTTCTTGAACAGCCCTAGTCAGGGGGCAGGATCACACTAATAAAAGCAATTTTGCTCCTATTACAAGGGTGAGAGTGGAGATGGTGGAAATCCCAGAAATGCAAGAAGCTGAAAAGACTTAAATGTTGTGTTCCCTGCAAAAAGTAAACTTTTAAAATAAAGTAACAATATAAAGCAAAAGTTGTCTGATAAAAATCTGTGCAAATGCACATATATGTTTAGTGCATTTGCTACACAATATCTTAAACCATCTGCATTCATCACCTCATTTAACTTTTGTAGCAATCCTGTAAGTTGAATTGTGTTGAGAAATGTTTAACAACTGGCTCTCTGGGAGAGAAAAACTGCCTGGTCTGGTGTGGTTGCCAATTCCTGTGGTGTAAATACTTCATAGATTTCAAGCTACTCAGTGTCATCGCTGAGCATGGAACTGGGAAGAGATGTACACAATAGGCCTTCATGAGCTGGTAAGATTTAGCTGTAGCACACCACTACCTACAATGGAAGTACTACTTTTATCCCTATTTTCTTACACAGAAGAAAACAGACACAAAGAAATTAAATGACTTGCCCAAATTTTACCAGAAAAAATCTGCATTGGACCCCAGCTCTGTGATGCCAAAGTTAAGACTAAGGGTTCAAGAAAAGTAGTATAGTCAAGCCTATAATATAAGCATGGCATATAAAGTGCCATGCTTAATCTTAAATTCTACCAGTCACACTCACTGCTTAACAAAATTGTCACAAAACTTCAGATCATCTTGTCTGGTGACCTCATTATAATAAGACCTCATTTAGAGAGGTTTAGAGTAACATATATCAATTTGAACTTTCAAAACTAGTACCCAAGTTTCTAAACCATAACTGAAATCTACCCAATTATTTGCACCATACTGTATCTCGATCCTCTCCCTCTCTCTCTCTCTCTGTCTCCCTCTATCTCTCTCTCTCTCCCTCTCTCTCTCTCTCTCTCTCCCCGCCCGCCCCCCAGATTGTCGCTCTGTTGCCCTGGCTGGAGTACAGTGATGTGATCACAGCTCACTGTAGTCTCGATATCCCAGGCTCAAGTGATCCTCCCACCTCAGCCTCCCAAGTACCTGAAACCAGAGGCATGTGCCACCACACCCAGGTAATTTTTGTATTTTTTGTAGACATGGGGTTTCACCATGTTGCCCAGGCTGGTCTGGATCTCCTAGGCTCAAGTGATCTGCCCTCCTTGGCCTCCCAAAGTGCTGGGATGACAGGCATGAGATACCATGCCTGGCCTGGGGCCTCTTTTTAACCTGCACAAAGAATACTGCAGTTCTTCCATCAGAACCCGTGGGCCCTTTAAGCCAGCAGTCCACTTTACTGCAGTGTGGTAGCCTGCAGTATTCACTGAAGCAAGCCCACCATCTTTCCTGACAGCCTCCTGATTTCTTCCATGTGCACTGAACAACTCAGCAATATCTGCCTCAACCTCCTGGTTCCCACGCACAGTTCTCTCACCTCTCAAAGTCTGCATTAATGACAAAATGCAAAGAAAAATATGTATCCAGATTTACTGCCTCATTTCCTCCTAGTGAAGTTAAGAACATTATTTGATCACAACAAAGTCTTTTATCTAGAGTCAGGGATCAGGGCTCATGCCTGTAATCCCAGCCCTTTGAGAGGCTGAGGCAGGAAGACTACTTGAGGCCAGGAGTTTGAGACCAGGCTGGGCAGTGCAGCAAGACCCCATCTCTACAAAACCTAAAGATTAGCCGCCTGTAGTCCCAGCGACTCAGAAGGCTGAGTTGGATGGATGGCTTGAACCAAGGAGCTTGAGGCTGCAATGAGCCATGATCGTGCCACTGCACTCCAGCCTGGGCAACAGAGTGAGAACCTCCTCTCAAAAAGAAAAAAAAAAAAATTACCTAGCTCTTCCATCTCCAATGAACACAGCTTTAACAAGCTAAGAAAGTTCTGACTTGCTAACTTTTATTCACCTAGAATTAACAAATTTCAGTCTAAATTTAGAATCTTCTTCCCCCAACATTTCTATAGGGCAAACTCACCACTAGTCCTGGAAAAGTGTGAGGTGGGTCAAAAACCAAGTTGGGACCTTCCTCATTTTCACTTGCAGGACCTTTTCACCCAGATTTTCTTCCTCCTCCTAATCTGCTATCACCACCCAGCACACATTTTATGTCTTATTTCCCTAAAGCCTTTCTTGCTCTATCAAGATCCAATTCTCCCATCATTCACTCACTCATTCATCCAACAGTCATTAATGGGGCGGTTTGGTGCTAGCAGTAGGCACATTCTAGGCATGCATAGAGTATGAATACTCTCCCTGATATGCTCATACTTCAGCAAGAGAGACAGGCATGCACAAACAAAGCTAAAGGAATTACAGTAAGAGATGCTCTGATCAATATTTATGCAAAGGCAAAGTAATGTAGAAAGACAGGTAAGATGATTGATTTGCCTGGAGGTTGGTCAGGGAATGGGATTGAATTTCAGTGGCTTCTGGGAAGAGCTGACAGTTAGGCTGGGCTTGAAGGCTAGGAGGAGTCTGTTAGATACCCAAGGGAAGAAAAGGCTGATAACATAACACAGACAAAACAGTGATTTGAAAATGGAGGGTGGGACTGGGCGTGGTGGTTCACACCTGTAATCCCAGCACTTTGGGGGACCAAGGCAGGTGGATCATTTGAGGTCAGGAGTTCAAGACCAGCCTGACCAACATAGTGAAACCCCATCTCTACTAAAAATTAGCCGGGTGTGGTGGCACGCGCCTATAGTCCCAGCTACTTGGGAGGCTGAGGCAGGAGAATCACTTGAACCTGGGAGGTGGAGGTTGCAGTGAGCTGAGATTCCACCACTGAACTCCAGCCTGGGCAACAGAGTGAGACTCTGTCTTAAAAAAAGAAAATGGAGGGTGGAAGACAATGGCAGAGTCTGCAGTGACTGGAATTTGGGGAAAATGGAAAAAAGCAACTAATTTCATTAGGCCCCCTAAAAGGCTTAAAATGCCTCCCTCTCAGAGGTATATGTTTGCATAGGAGCAAAGTTTAGCACAGAACATTCAGTGTTAGAAAGAGTGACTGGGCATCAGAAGACTTGAGTTCTCATCATAGTCTATCAGCAGCTGTGTTGTTTAAGGTTTGTCAATCTCTTCAAGC